TGGAACATATACGCATACTTCTATTAGGGGGTTCATTAGGGTTTACATAAGTTATAAAATCCCCCGGCCCCATGGAAGATATACGCATACTTCTATTAGGGGTTTCATTTAGGGTTTACAGAAGTTATAAGATCCGGAGTCGCCAAAAAGTGGAAAAGATTGAAAAAGTGGAAATGGCCGAAACGCGTGAAGTCCGCAGAGGGTTCACTTTTCTGACTGATTTTTCCAAAATTTCGTCTTAGACCACGCTAACTCACAGATGTACCAGAGTCATAAAACACTGTGCCTGCGCAGAGAAATGAGCTTCCCACTGACGTTCATACGGCCATTCCGGGACAACCCTCAGTCCTGCCCGTAAATTAACATAGACCCTGGCAGATAGGGGTTGGAAGATTAGTTTCCATTAAAACTAGGCTATTTTCAGGGTCAACAAGTTAATTTACCAGAGGGTACATTCTAAATCACCGTAACTCAATTAAGTCGTCTCCATTAATGTGGTAAATCCAATCATAAACCATCCCCAATAGAGGTTTGTTGCTGGCTATTCTAGCAACAGGATTATCTAAAATGAGCCCCAGTCATGGTTGAAATTCATGGTTGACTAGCACTTTTTCTTTCAGATATCTGAAGAATGACTATGATGATCTATTCAATTCAGGGCTACCTTGTTTTTGATTGAGAAAAAAAAGAAACATTCATTCCTTGCCCCCAGGCTCAAATAACCGAAAAATTAACCTCACCCCATGATCATTTCCATTACATGAAAGCCATGTTCCCTCTTATTCCAACCCCCTATAAGATTCAATCACCAATGGCATTTTTGTCATAGTAACTATCACCAACTCCTAGCTCGATAGGGACTCCCCTAATCAATGGATTGTCAATACTTCCCCTCTATACATCGGGTAGTAAAATTCACAAACTCATCAACCAAAGATGATTTATCAATATTTACCCTCTGGTAAACGTTTACATAACGAACTATGGAAAGTCACCATTTTTAATGGGTAAATCCACTATTTCTATGGCCATTTTCAATAGCTATGTAAACGTTTGCACAACGAACTGGAAAATCACCATGCTATGTAGCTGGGTAAATCCACTAATTATTTCAATGGCCATTTTCAATAGCAAACTGTAAACGTTTACCAGAGGGTATATATCCCTATGGCTCCCCAATCACCAAGAAATGGTTGATGATTAGTTTCATGCTATAATAACGAATGGGGGTTCGTATAATGTGGCAATATGGGTAAAACAATAAACCATCACCCAGTCATCACCATTTTTATAGGTAAACAATTCCCAAATGGGTGGTTTATGGCACTATTTTACCCAAAAACCAACCACCAATAGTATGAAAATAAGTTTCATGGAATAATGATCAACCATTATTGGTGATTAGTATATGGTTATACCATGAAGAAACCATTGGTATTATACCACTGGTATTAGAGTTGGATTATATATTTCTGATTTTCCTATTAAATATTATTACCCTCTGGTTATTTATATAACATAGCCATGGAAAATGGCCCATAGAAATAGATGGTTTACCTATTAAAAACGGTGATTTTCCATGGCTATGTTGAATAACCAGATGTATAAATATATACATACTATAACTAAATGTTTATCACTATAGATCACCAACCAATCACCCATCACCCGCAGCCGAGGAGCTGCGGCAGCAGCTTCCGCAACGCCTGCGAGACCTCAAAGGGGTCCAGCCTGCCGTCCGCGTCGCCGTCCTCCTTGCGCAGCGCCGACAGCACCTGACCGCGGCCCGGGGCAGCCACCACGGGGAGGTTCAAACCTGTGAAAAAAGGGGAAAAATCGGGGAAAACATGGGAAAAAATCGGGGAAAACATGGGAAAACTCTAGAACATCTCTGAAAAAAGTCAGAAAATGGTCACGTTCAGGACCTGATTTTTTTTTCGCGGAACACGTCTCACAATTTGATGGCTTAAGCTACTTAAAACCTCAGAAAACCGATGCCGGGGATCCGACGAGGGGGCCACGACCAGTGACTCTTGGGCTCTGATACAAAAGATGAACATGTCTGCTTTACCCATTCCAATAATTTCCAATATATGATTGTATAATATTGTATATTCCAATATATGATTGTCGAAGGAAGTTTAGAAGTCAAACTTCCGACAATATGGAGAGATGAAAAAGCAGTCAGCAGGGAGAAGAGTCAGAAGAGAAAAGATCAGAAGAAAGAAGATGCACGTGCGCGAAAAGGTAAAGTCGCGAAACACTGTGTTTTTTCGTGGTTTTGTGGCTCCGGAGGGTTGAAAAGTAGGCTCGCTAAAGCGGCGGGTGCGGAGCCAGCTGGCCACAGGAGAGATGAAAAATTGCACGCCGTTGTGGCGCGAAGCACATTTCGAAGTCAAAATGTACAAAACACCTCAGGATCGGACCACTTTTGGAAGTTGAGATGCACGCCGTTGTGGCGCGAAGCACATTTCGAAGTCAAAATGTTAAAAACACCAGGGGTTCGGACGACTTTTGGAGGTTCAGATGTCGCTTCGCTTCACTACACTACACTACATTACACTACACTACACTCCACTACACTACACTATGTTACACTACACTACCTTCCGCTACACTTCACTACATTACACTACACTACACTCCACTACGACTACACAACTACACTCCACTACACTAAATTACACTACACTACACTACATTACACTACACTACATTACACTGAATGACACGGCACCACAGATAGACAGGTAGACAGATAGACAGATAGATAGATAGACAGATGGAGAGGTAGACAGCTAGACAGATAGACAGATGAAAGAGAGAGAGAGAGATAGGTAGATAGATAGATAGATAGGTAATTAGATGAAAGATAGAGAGAGAGAGATAGATAGATAGATCGATAGATCGATAGATACATAGAAGATAGATAGGTAGGTAGGTAGATAGTCAGAGAAAGAGAGAGAAAGAATGAGAGAGATCAAGCACCTTTCGGTCCATTAGTGGATTCGCTCTGCCATCCCTGATTCACAACAACCAATCTCTCCTATAGGTTTCCTATTTTTGAAACTTCCGCCACCGCCTTGTGCGGTACTATTGGTATATTCTAATGCGGAAAAGTGGTTGATTCTCCAATTCAGATTAGAATGAATAATTATCACCAGCACTACAAAATGATGATTGATTCACAGGACCAGTAACCTGGTGGGGTAAAAAAAGTTCACCAGGAAGAATAGAGGAGGGACGTTTAAACATGTGGGGTGAAGTTCAAGTGTTTTTTGAAGAATTGAGGGCTGAAAATGAGAAATCCAGTATTTTTTGGATTTTTACTGATCAACAACTTAAGTATTTGACTGGCCAAAAAGATGCATGAACCTCCACCATTCACCAATCAGTCACCATTCACCCCATTGCCCACCTGGGAACCCTGGGGTACTTGCGATTGGTGGAATGCTTTAGTCCCCCAGGCAGGATTTTCCACATGCCTGAGCCACCCTAAAATCTACCCATCAACGCACCATAAAACGCACCATAAAAATCCATAAAATACATCAACAAAGATTGTCCACAAAATGTCCCAGAGGTACCCTCCCTTTAAATATCTTTAAATAACCTTGATATAGAAAATCATCAAAGATGTCGATTCAGCAACGTCTGGCAATTTTCCATGGCCGTTTGTGAATGAGCATTGATCCCTTCCCCCCAACACGTATGTTTCATACCCCCAATCCGGAGCCCGTTTTTTAGAGGAATCCAGTACTCCAATACATAAAAAAACTCCAGGATGAATCGATTGGCGGATTTATATGAAATCGAAATCACAAAAATTGCGATTCCTATGTGGCTATCATTTCTCTAAGTGGCACAATGGGAAACCTGGAAATATCTAATTACTATAATCTATAATCTCCTGGAAACATCTGGAAACACTGTTTTATCTTTTTGGGCATGGCGCCATGTAGTAACTATAGAGCAACCCCAGGTTTGGGAACGGATGACAAAAAACACCACATAATTTCCGGGTCGGCCTCGCCCTCCGCACGCTGTAGAGATCTCAGCAACTTCACGGCTCTCAAATCTGCCGCCTTCGGGTGATGATCGAAATCATCGAAAAAACTACGCAATTTTTCTATACGATATCATCTTCCCATATCTGGTTGGTGGTTGACCTACCCCTCTGAAAAATATGAGTTCGTCAGATTGGGATGATGACATTCCCAGTATATGGACAAATAATCCATTCATGTTCCAAACCACCAACCAGATATTCTATGATTATCCTATTTTCAAAATGAAGGTTTCATGGTAGTTTCATGGTATGCTAATAGAAAATCTATGGCTCAAAAACCCTCTGGTGTCATTTTTCACGTGGACGGTTAAAATCCTCGACATATTTCTCAGTGGATGATCCAACGAATGTGTCATTCAACTACTGAAAATGTGTTATTTCCTATGCTCAAGCTTGTTTCAGTGATTTGCAGCCTGACTGACCCAAACAAACATGTCAACCAATGATGTATTTCTATGTGTGTCTATGTATTTCTATACATTTCTATATTGTGGCCTGGGACTGCTGGATCTATCCTGAAATCCACCAATTCAGCGATCCAACGGCTGCTTTTTTTCTGGCCGCCGTGGAGTTTCTCGGTCACGAATTGGTCCCGCGGGCATCGAAAGCGGCTGGCTCCTCACTAGGCTACTGAGGAGCCAACGCCATGAACACAGACAAGTGTATTGTTGACTTCCTGGGCCACGCTTGTGCCACATGCCAGGTACGATTCAAGAATCCAAAATACCAAAGTCTACAAACTCATTTAATATGATACTCTACTGCTTGGATAGTAATTTGTCATGTATAGTCATGTCATTCTTATGAACCTGTTTGGAATTCAGTGAGGGGGTTGGGTGTTCAATTCTAGAAATCTAAAAGGTAATCTCTGGCACCCCAGACCAGTGGGGCATCACCCCCATACAAAAATCTACCCTCTGTCAAGTCGAAGTCACCCGAAATCCCACGCAACGAAGAGCTCGCAATCCTCGGAACTGCCTTGCACTAAATAGCCCGCCTTCCTAGCAGTGGTCACTCCGATATTCACAAAGGCAACATAGTTTGGATATACAATTGCTGCCTGGAAGGCGTCTTTGATGCACCGGGCTACCTTGTACACGCGGTCCACGCTGTTTTCGCCATAGTAGTCGCGAAAGCATATCAGGACAGTCCGTCCAAGCTGAGTACCCGGTACCACATCCTCAACCAGTTGATCATACACTGGATTGCGGTACTTGCACATTCCCTTCACACCTGGCGGCATGACGCGGCTGAAGGCGGCTGTGTTTGTTCACCAGTCTCTGCCAATTCAGAAAGATCATTTTCAGAAGGGACTACAACGGTGCAACCAGCCACCACAGTCACTAGTCATTCCCTTTACCAAGACTTATTCCCAAACATGACATACCATGGGGAAAATAACATCCTTTATGTACATTCTGCATAGACATGGGTACAGGTGTAGCATGTATCCGCATGTATATGGAACTTAAATATAGGTACAAAAAGTGTCTGAACATCCTTTTTGTGCATGGAGCGTCATCCATGGTCATCCCACAAATCTGAAACACCTCGCAACCCTACCAAAGAAGTGAGTGACGACAATGTAGGTAAACAACAGGGAATGGTGAACAAAAGTAGAACTATGAACCACCGGTTGCTACTGTAATCACTGCCAAGTTTCAGGGTAACGGTCAGAAACATCTCAGTTCCTACTCACCAACTCTCTACCAGGGGAATTACTTCACTATGGTATCGTGAACTTCCTGAAGCTACAGAACTAGAAGCCTAGTTCAGAGTCATCATGGCAGGGTGGACTATGCAACTTTGTCAGTAGTTCTTAGTGCTCCCTGGGTGATAAAAAAGGTGAGAACTGGAACTGGCACTGGTCATATTCATGAAGTACTGGTATACTAGGTTTGTACAATAATGTGGCTTGCATGGTCACCATTGCTGTTGATCTATATCAAGCATTTAACTGACTGGGGATGTTTCAAGGATATTCACAAGCAAAACAACTTGACATGATTCAGGGTGTTGGTCACATCTAGTCCCTGCTCGATAGAGATACCGTGCCACTGGCAGGCTGATAGATTTTCCAATATCACAAACATGAAAGCACCTAGCATCACTATGAAAGCAAGTGGCAGGATCCGTCAAGCTATATCATGAATCATTGAATTATCAGTGTGCAAGAATCTTCAACAATTAACCACAACCATGGCAAACACACCCTGCATTCTGCAACTCATCTTCGACAGAGTGAAATGTCGTGAAATGTCTCCGAGGGTGGATCCAGGTCTTCGAGGGCACGGACAAGTTTTTTGAGAGCACAGTTGTGTTGACCTTACGTGAAACTCGCCCTTCGGGTCTGCATCTCCGACCCAGATCGGAACTTCTTTGGGCCAAATTGGAAAAATTGCAAAACTAACAGTTATCAGCCATTATACCGATCGCCCAGCAATTTTGGCAGCTACTTGTGAACCAGTACTGGTTGGTGGTTTTAACAATCCTGAAAAAAATAGTCAAACAGTCAAACTGGATTGTTATCCATATGTAATGGAAAATGCATGTGGCTGAAACCACCAACCACTTAGTGGTTGGGTACCCCCAGTCACCATGGTTGTAAATTCCCATCAAAATGATTATTACCAACCAAGGTTAGCAGCCACCCGTCCGCCAGCACGTTCTGCCCACCTGCACGCGTGCGATTGGCAAACCCCCCCGGTTCCCCACTGGCCAAGTCGGACAGCGACGCCGCCACGTCGGACAGCGACGCCGCAGCCAAGTCGGACAGCGACTCCGCATGCTGCTCACGGAGGGCCAGGCAGGCCGTGATTGGAAGCAACAAGAGCCGCTGCATGTCGCAAGCAACGAAAGGAAAATATACCAAAGTTTGAAAAGCTCGAGCCTAAGGCGGTGCTGTTCTAAACGAATCCTTCTGAGTATCTAAAAGGCGGAAGGTTTCTTTCCATCCAGGCTTTCTAACACGAAAAGCACCAAGCAAGTTCAACGGAGCTGATCTCAGCTGTCAGTCACTGCTTTGGTGATCACCCTATCTTCGCAACAACCTATATAATCAATATATAATCTGGTTATTTCCTATGCTCAAGCTTGTTTCAGTGATTTGCAGCCTGACTGACCCAAACATGTCCATGTCAACATATGTCAACCAAGCATTAGTAAACAAGCAAATCATAAATCATAAATCGCTGCCGATTTTTTGGGATGGAAATCCTCCAAGTCGCAGAAAAACAAGTGACGCGACCGGAGCTTCAAAGTTGCAGTTCCAGTGAACTAACTAACGATATATCATCACATCAGGATTTTTAGGTGCTATATTCCATAGAAAACCCAAGGATTTTACCGCTAAAAAAAGCCTGGTTGTATCACCCAAAATAGGGGCCCGGAAGGCACCGATTTTTCGAAAAAACTTCGCTGTGATTTCACAGCATCAACTGGGCTGGCGAAGGACCACATCGCCCACACAGCGAAGCGCCCAATCATTTGCGGGATCCAGTTACTAAGAGTGGGCAATACATGGCAATACTCCGTCTATGATCCAGTTATTTGAGATCTACAGATCTACAGCAGCCCTTGTTTTTCTAGGCTATCAACCACCCTCCAGTTATCCTGGGACAACCTGCAGTTATAGATATATTGGTTATACTATCCCATGACGGATCCATGGTGCTGGTATATATGCTGACATAAAGGGGGTATATTGATGGGATCCATGTTACCATATATCGCAGCACCATGGATCCTATGGGTATGTTCTATTACATCCTCATGTCATGGAAATCCAAATATGTTCTGCCGCTGTGACCGGCAGAAACTCGCCATTAAAAGGAATCGGGGAATCCCTCACAAAATCATCATCCTCCCTTGACCCCTTGACCCAATTTCTCAGTACTTGTTTTGAATTTTTCAATCATTTATACCAGTTAATTTAATGATACTATTACTATTTTGTGCCCAGTAAATAAATAACTTGATCCAAAATCATGCAGAAAACCCAATGATAAACCAGACTCAATGGGACCCACGTCGCACCTGATCTAGGGGCTGGAAACCTGCACGACTTCGCCATCGCAGGCAACCATGGGGATTGATATGGATAGAAATACCATGCCAAAATGGGGAAGTGTATGATATCTTGGCCAAGAAGCATCACACCAAAGCTAGCAAAAATGAAGGCTATACCCGACCCACATCATGATTCACTGGAATGTTTTGACATTTCAAGGACGTTTTCTTGTTGGATATCATTGTGTTTCCATCCAAACCAAGGGGATCTCCGATGATTCTTCGGGTCAACCAATTCATCTGGTGCACATCTTGATGGTTTTCAATTCTTCTGGGGTAAGGAACTATGGCAATAGGGGCCATCTTCTATAAATGATCAATATCATTGCAAGCTGAGTACCAAAAGACGCCACATTTCTTGTGGAGGTTGCTGACTGGAGACCGTCATGGGAGCGACGTAAAAATATGTTTTCTAGATTAATACATCATTCATATATTTATATATTTTTTAATATATAATCTACTATACTCTATATATATATATATATATATGGGAAAATTATAATAATTCACTAACCTGAATAGTTCGGCCATTTGGGGATGATTCCTCTTATTAACCATGATTCCAGGCTTTGGTCGAACAGTGAGGTCGTTATAATTTACCCAGATATATATATATATACCCTCCAGTGAATCAACATAGATTCGGGGGGTCCTAGGGTCCTGGAGGAAAAACCCCCATCCAAGTCATTGGACCATGAAAAAGCATATCAAAGCTGTGGCTTTGGTATCCCTCATTTTAAGAACCCCCCATATGGTCCTTTTCTGGTCATTTATGATGATGTTTATATATGTTTGTTATGATCTGTGACTATCTGTGACTATGATTGTAATCATGAGAATGAGAATATATGGCCATCAATGATACTGTAGATAGTCCTACTGTAGAAATCATATTCAATGAGAATATTGCCATAGGCCATAGATATTGTAGAATGATATTTTGCTATCCATCTCATATTCGGAATCCTTGGCCAGCTTTAGAAAACCCTATGGATTGATGCCGTTAGTAACAACTGTTACCCGTGGCACCATGGATAAAATCCCCACCAGGCATGTAAGTAGACTAGTCATCAGACTCGTAGATTCGTAGATCATGAATCGCGAAAAAAGGTTGTGATTTAAAGAATTCCTGCACATGAAAGGTGCATTCTAAATTTTCTAAAGAAATGCACTTCTCTGGGCATAAAAAACCCTCTGGTAATGACTAACAGTTCGCTATTGAAGCCATGCCCCATAGAAATAGTCGAAGGAAGTTTAGGGGGAGAAACTTCCGTGTTACGGACTTTTAGAATGTCAGGGAAAGAGTTAGTCAAAGAAAGAGTTAGCAAAGAAAGAGTTCGTCAGGGAAAGAGTTAGTCAAAGCAAGAGTTAGCCAAAGAAGAGTTAGTCAAAGAAAGAGTTAGTGAGGGAAAGAGTTAGTCAAAGAAAGAGTTAGCAAAGAAACAGTTAGTCAGGGAAAGAGTTAGTCAAAGAAAGAGTTAGTGAGGGAAAGAGTTAGTCACAGAAAGAGTTAGCAAAGAAAGAGTTCGTCAGGGAAAGAGTTAGTCAAAGAAAGAGTTAGTCAAAGAAACAGTTAGTCAGGGAAAGAGTTAGTCAAAGAAAGAGTTAGTGAGGGAAAGAGTTAGTCAAAGAAAGAGTTAGTCAGGATATATGAGGTAGTCAAAGAAAGAGTTAGCAAAGAAAGAGTTAGTCAAAGAAAGAGCAAAGAAAGAGTTAGCAAAGAAAGAGTTCGTTAGGGAACGAGTTAGTCAAAGAAGTTGTTCCCGCAATGTAAATGGGATTGCAAGTGGTGCTGGTGGATGAGTTGCCGATGGAGTTTTGAAGGAAGTCTCGCACGAAATGCGTTTTTGAGAGATAGCAGATGCACGAAAGCCTATGTTATTCCATACAAAGTCCGTCCCCGAACCTCGATGATCTACCTCTGCGGTGCGACGGTTGCGAGACGGTCTCGTGTGTGGTCGGATCATGCTCGGATCATGGTCGGATCATGCTCGGATCGGTTCCGCATTGTAAATGGGGTTTCAGCTGTTTTTCGTGCATGTGCGGTCGACAGAATTCCATTGTGATTTGCAGCTGTATAGGATCGTTCCCGCATTGCTTAAATGATTTTCTTAGGTATGCATTTATAACTTACACTTATAACTAGGCAATGCCTACTTATAATCGGGTCAAATAAATTTATAAATTAGCTAAACAAAGCCATCCAATTTACAAATGCGCCTCAGATAGCAGCTGATTGCTAAAGAGTTAGGGTACATACAACCAGAGATAGTTTTGTTTAGGGACATAATTCTAAGTCTGGTTGTAAGTGGTTATAACTCCTGCACGTTGACTTTTTAAAATTTGCAAAATTTTGTTTTTTTTGGGGGGTTGGAACTTGACAGGAAAGCAGCTTTGAATGCATGTGTTGCACTTCCGTTGCCATTTCATTGCTTATTTTTGGGTGGCTCGCCCCCTTTCTGCATGGCTCGCCTGCAGGCCTGTGTGGCAAAGATGTCAAGGCATGGCGGTGGTGGTTGGTTTCACAATGGCTATGGTGGAGGTGGTGGCTCTGGCGGTGGCTCTGAAGCCCATATGGGCCCAATACCGTTGCAAGGTGGAGGCACCTTGACGGCTGAGGATCGTGCCAGGATTCTTTCAGCGACTGGCTGCAGTGCTGTGGTGCGGTTTCGACAGCAGTGGGGTCAAAGATGCCTTTCCATCAGCGGCCCTGCAGAGCGTTTGAGTGAAGCAAGGAGGTTGTCGGATGAAGCCATCAGAGCCAATGGGGAAGAAGGTGGGCGACGGGAAAATGCTGCCATAGAAGGTCTCCGGCAAGAGAACATTGCCATCAAGGCAAGGGTGACAGCCTTGGAGTATCAGAATGGACAACTGTGGGCTGCAGCTCGGTGTGCCATGCAGGCAGCAAAGGAGACCAAAGATGCCTTGGAAACCCTGCAGTCAAACATGGAGACAAAGAAAAAGAAACACAAGAAGAAACATGACAAAGGAGAGAAGATCGAGGGCAAGCAAGTTACGACCACCGAAGACGAGGTGCCCATGAAGCAGGAACAACAAAGCTCTGATGATGAGAAACCCCAGGTTTCAAGCGCAATGGATGAGAAAGCTGAGAGCCCAACAACTAGCAAGAAGGAAAAAAAACCTGATGTTGAGGGCCACTGCGAGGAGGAGGGGACTGAGAAGATGGAGGACTTGCAAGATCCACCTTTGAGCCCAGCCTCAGTTCCTTGTTTTTGCAATCCTTCAAGTTTTTGGGGTGTGTCTGCATGATTTTTGGTTATACAAACAATACATAAACAATACATATCCACAATATCCAATGAGAAATATGTATTTTGGCCATCCATTCTTCAGTAATCCCAGGACACAAACAAGACTGCAGTGGCATCGGAGGAATGCAACAGCGATGATGCTGAGTCGGTGCCAACCATTTTGCCTCCAGATGGCCTTCCATTGACATCGACGACTGAGGGCGGCGATGGAGGCACTTTGGATTCCAAATGAAGAGGCTCGCCCTTCGTTTTGGATTTTGCATTGAGGACAGATGTGGTTTGAAAACATGCGCGCTGTGAAACATGCACAGCGATTCAATGAAAATCATGCAAAAGCATGCAAAAGCAGCACTGTTTTTTTTAACCAATGCGTTTGCAATGTATCTGCTCATTTCTGCGCAGCCGTTTTCATCGAACCGACTATGCAGAAGGCTCGCCATCTGATGATTTTGAGAAGGCTCGCCTCTCTAATCTTTGTGCTCATGGGAGTAAAAAAATTGTATGAAGAGACATGTGGAAAGAAACGGCATTTGTCTGTTTCCATTTCAGCTGAAGTTCACATGTCAGGAGGGGACGGATCATTCTCTCACCAAAGAAAGCGAATCAGGGACGAGATGACCGATGTTTTGTTGGAGGAAGGTGGCATGTGTGGCTCCATCTTGAGGAGCATGAAGATTCCATGCAATGACACAGGTAGCGTCGATTGGCACTACTTGCACCCTTGTGCTCTCCTGCATGCATTCTCAAAGAGGCGTCCAGAATTTGGGGATTTGCTGCGCAATGCAGAGACACACAGGATTTGTGTTTACATGGATGAAATCACGCCCGGTAATGTGCTTCGACCCGATCATGGAAAAAGCGTTGCTATGTGGTATTGGACCCTGTTGGATTTTCCTGATTGGTACATTGGAAGAAACGAAGGTTGGTTCTACTTTGCTGCTTTTCCGGTCAAACTGATTGGTGGGGTAAAAGACGGTTATAGCTACTTGTTTGGACGGATGATGGAAATCTTTTTGGAACAAGAAGGACCGTTGAATTTCACTACAGGATTCCCATGCATTTCCTCCAGGGGCATGTTCCTTTGCAAGGGAAAATTGGAAGCCGTGCTGTCGGACGAAAAATCCATCACGGCACTTTGGTCACTTCGAGGTGCCACCGGCACAAAACCTTGTTGTTTCTGCCAAAATGTGGTGGGGCATATGGCCCGAGACAAGGTTCAAAACCATGCATGGCTGGTTCACTACAGTTGCTCATCTTCAGAAAGATTTGCAAAGCACACTGCCTCTACATTTTCAGAAATGCGTGACAAACTGGAAAGAATTTCTGGAAACAAGAAAGAATGTCAGAAGTTGGGGCAAGCATATGGCTTGACATTCAAAGCAACAGGAATTCTCTGGCATCCCACTCTGCGGGACAAAGTCTGCCCAGTGCGACAAACAGTCTATGATTGGATGCACATCTTGGTAGCAAGTGGAGGGGTGTGTCAGTACGAATGCAATGAGTACGTCAAAGTGCTAAAAGGACAAGGGGTTTTGCCAGCACAGCTGGATGCTTTTGCAGCACAGGTGTTTTTTCCAAAAAATACCAGCAGTTACCGAAAAAGTTCTTTGAGGAACGTGTGAATTGGGAGGACAACACGGTTCTAAAAGCATTTGCTGGTGAAACTTTGCTTGTTGTGGACACGCTGGTCCTCTTCAATGAAATTGTTTTGAAACCTTTGGGGATCCTGCAAGATCATCGAGAGAGCCTGGAACTTGCGTCAGACATCCTGGGTATTTTGTCACTTGGTGCTGCAGCCAATCAATTTCAAAGGGAACTTAAAAGAAAAATTGCACGACACAATGAATTGTTTGAACAACTCTACAGTGAATGTGCAAAGCCAAAGTTCCATTGGCTTTTCCATGTGCCAGAAAACATTGAAAGGATTGGTCGGAGTCTTGCTTGCTTCAACCCAGAGAGAAAACACCGATGTGCAAAGACTGTGGCTGCCTTTGTGCACAACGAGTTTCTGCAGGTCAATATGGCCATGCGCATTGGAAATGAGTGTTTGCAAAGTTTCAGCGATTACAAGATCTGTCAAGAGACTTTCCTGGAAGGACAAGGAAAGGATGCTTCGCAGTGGGACGATATGTTGGGGCAGAAGTTGGGCAAGAAGGTTTCAGTTAAGGTAGGTAACAAGCTTATGTCCTCTAGGGGGCTGGTATCTCTTCACGATGCTGTTTGGGACAAAGAGCAGGGGCAATTGCTTTTCCCGACCAAGTTTTTGCAGGTGACTGAAGTATTGTCTAGACAGCTGACCGTTATGTGTTTGGCAAAATGCCACAAGCATGCTGGAAACGGATTGTTTGAAGACATTTCCTCAGAAGATTTGTTGTTCTGGAAGTCTGAATTTCAAACAGTGCCTTATACCTTGAGGTCCCAAGGTATGATTCATGCGCTGCTCAAATGATGCGGTGGGAAAAAGTGTGCTTTTGATGCCGAAGAAAGTTTCCTCATTGTGATACTTCATATCCCAATCTGGTGTGATGATTTTGGAAGTATGTATTTACCATGTGTGTTTGATGGATGCTGTTTGGCTCTATATACTGTAATTAAAAAGACCCTGACTTTGAAGGTATTACCTCAAGTTGAAAAACTGTGCGAACAGGATGTCTGACGCCACCTCTGTTGTTGCCAGCGAAGTGTCGTCCGAAGCTGGGGAAAAGGTTGGCGATGCCTTGATGCTTACTGAAGATGAAATTGCAGAAAACCATTGCTGCACCTGCAGCAAGCCTGTTGATGTGGAGAACAGTTTGGTCATTATTCGGGCCAATGTCAAAGGTGTGGAGGTTCGCAGGTGCCGCAGCTGCCACAATGTCAGGAGTGCCATCAATCGCATGACCAAGAACCATGGAACTTTGGTTAAGGATTTCTTCAAAGTGACTGGTGACAGGCTGGAGGCTTTCTACAAAGAGCATGGACATTTACGAGGTGAAGACCTTCGCTCCAAGGTTGAGGAGGTGGTTACAGATTGGAAGACTCAAACAACACGTTTTGAGTTCAATCAGGATGCGGAGTACTTGGATGAAGATGACATCAAGAAAAGGTATGAACACAAGCCTGAGGTTGCAGAGAACATCCTTCGCAATGGGAAGAGGTTTTTTTGCCCTGTCAAGAAGATTTTTTTTGTATGCAGACCCCAAGTACTCAGCCAAAGTCCAGGATGCAATCGAACATGGCACCACAGAGAAACGCAAGGGCCAAATGGCTTTGAAAAACGACGAGCCAGAGCCACCCCAAAAAAAGCCAAAGGCCAAAGCCAAATGCAAAGCAAAGAAGGAAGGAACGGATGAATCCCAAGGAAATGAAGAACCAAAGATGAAAGCTGGTGACAAGAAGAAGTTGAGCAAAAAGCTGGAGGCTGTTATTACCAAGGCTGCCCTTCTCAAGGAGCACCTTGCAAAAGCAGCAACGTTTGGAGACATGATTCCAAAGTATGTGTTGGAAGCTGGCCAGAAGGGATTAGCGGACATGGAGGAGACCAACAAAAAGGCAGAGGAGTTGCTGGCTTCTGGTAAGGGGGAACCCCAGCCAGTGATTGATGGCATTGAGAAACACATTGAGGCAGTCAATGAGGCGACTCTGCGCATCAAAGCCCAAATGGATTCTGCAGCTGCCTTCAAGTGAGTGGGCGAGTTAAGAGCTGAGGATTTATCCCGGCGATTTTGATTTTCAAATCCATAATTGCAGACTGCATTCTTCAATGCAGCAATAGAAGTTGCACGCAGCACTGGGGTGCTGTATGATGCGGTGTGAAAAACAATGCATAGCTTTCACAGTGATGTGTCATGTTTCAAGGGTATCAGGACAGTATCAGAACCGTATCAGAGCCGTATCAGAAGAGTATCAGAGCCGTATCAGAAGAGTATCAGAGCCGTATCAGAAGAGTATCAGAGCCGTATCAGAAGAGTATCAGAGCCGTATCAGAAGAGTATCAGAGCCGTATCAGAAGAGTATTTGAACAATGTCAGTACCATATATCAACAGAGTAGCATGTTTTTTTTGATGTGCCATTAGGCCAGTTATGGCTTATGACTTTATAGTCTGGGAGCAGCAGAAACGATCACAATTTTCAAAAGTTCAAATTCAAAAATGAATTCAAACATGTTTGGGTTATCATTTTCTATTTTCCCATGTGCGGTTTCTCTGCACAGGTTTGGTTTCTTGTAATGCTGCATGTTGTACTCAGTTTCAACTTGATGTGCTACACTAACATGGAGTTCCAATTTTCAAAAGTTCAAAATCAAAAATGAATTCAAACATGTTTGGGGTTATCATTTTCTATTTTCCCATGTGCGGTTTCTTTGCACAGGTTTGGTTTCTTGTAATGCTGCATGTTGTACTCAGTTTCAACTTGATGTGCTACACTAACATGGAGTTCTACTTCAGCGGGCGAGCCTCACTGATTTTTATGCGCATGTTACTGCAGCTTTTTGCTTATAGAAGCACCTGAGTGCAAGGACCATCCTGCACAAAAGTAATTTGAAGGCTCGCCTCTTACTTGAAGAACCCATGGACATCACATCCAAGCAAGAAAAACCAAAGCAAGAGATGGACCGTGATCGAATACTGAGAAAAAGAACTTTGGAGCTTGGAGAAGTGTCTTCCTCAGACGAAGAAACAACAGTAAAGGCTCCAAAGATGTCTTCAACAGAAACCTCAACGAATCCTCAGGGAATTGACTTTGACAAGTTATTTCCAAACTGGTGGGAGGAGGACCAACATTTGGAGACCTGCTTCTGTGACTTTTGCGTCTTGTTTTTTGGGAAGACCAGGCCTTCAATCGAACCTCTCATTTCGACTGCTTTGATGCCAGCATCTCCCAATTCAACTGCTACAGTTAGCATTGATGTGGAGACTGCACCTGAACCTGCCATTGTGGAGACTGACCTTGGACCTGCTCCGTCATCACCTGATGCAGCCTGAGAGAAGTTTTGATTTGAGCCACACGGATGAAAGAATCCTACTTGTGTTTCTCAACACAGTTTGATTTACACACTTAATTTGTTTTCCAAACTTTGGAAACTGCTATCAGGGTGTTTGCGCTAGAAGCATGGGAAAATGGCAGAGGCAGCTTTGATCACACCAACAAATACACAACACATCAATCGTTACCGTTCTTGAGATTACTTTTTGCCAATATCTTTTAAATTTGAACATATATTCAATTTTGCAGCTGGCTTGTGGGGTGACTGGCTACTGCAGTTTGCTTTGGATCCAGTGACTGTTGCATTGCTTGAGGATGGCGCCCAAGCAGTCTAAACCATTGCAAACTGATTGGTCGAGGATTGTGCCCGACCTGGGGCGATTTGTGAGGCCTCTGCATGTCAGCCTTCCTTGTGTGGGTATAGATGGGGCAGGATTTGCGTTGAAGGCTTTGAAAGTGCCTTTTGCAGCCAACAATGTGTATGATTTGGAAAAACGATACAAAAAACACTTGGAGGAACACCTTGCCAGTTCCAAAATGCACCTGGGCAAGGACATCACCGAAGTGGAGTTGAAGGATTTTGAGCGACCGGTGGACTTGCTAATCAGTGGGCCTCCCTGCCCTCCATGGGCTGGCAATGGGAAGCACCAGGGCATCGAAGACAGAAGGGCCCATGTCTTCATATCTGTCATGAAGCTGGTTTTGAGCTTGGTGAAGATTGGTGACCTAAAGGCTTGCGTGATTGAAAACGTAAAAGGGATTTTGAGCAAACATCAGGGCACCAATGTGAGTTTCATGGACTACATTGTCAAGTTTCTGCAGGAACGTGTGCCAGAATTTGATTGGCATGTGGTGACGATGAAAGCCCAAGACTACATGCTGGCCCAACAAAGAACCAGGGTCTTCCTACGGGGGATGCGGAAATGCTATGGTGATGGGGTTGTGCCACCCCCATTGTTTTTGTTTGGAAAGAGGCCCTTGGTTGAGTTCCTGGATTTCAAGCTGCCTTCTGTGGATTGGTCATCCCTGACACCTACCATGACCAAGAACCTGAACGATTCAGTTTTGGCAATGACAAAGATGCTTGAGGATGGAGAGGCAATGGAAGAAGACATCCTTTGTTTTCCATTGGATCGAGCGGAGGGGAAGGTGTATGCGCGAAGATTTTCCAAAAACATTGTGCCGACACTCACAACAACGAACAAGTACCTCTTCCTAGCCTCACTGGACTTGAGCAAGCATGAGAAAAAACGCAAATGTTTTCGATTTCTGGACCCGAAGGCCTGGGGTTTTGGTGTTCAGTTCTTTGGTTCTGGGGATGAACATGTACTGTATATCTATTGCCTATTGCTGTGTTTTACAACTTCACACTTTGTTTTTGCATTTCTTTTAAACAAGTTTCACCCCTTTGAGGAACGTATGCTGTTGCAAGGATTCCCTGCAGACACGCTGGATGGCTGCTCTGATGCTCTCAAGGTTCAAGGAAGTGGCAACGCCTACCCAGTTCCACTGATGGTTGCAGTGCTGAGCGACATTGTGAAGGAAATCAAGACGGGCTTGTCGGAGCCATCTGCCAAGGAGCCTTTGGACAATCCTTCTTGCGCTGCTCTTTGCAGTGACTTCGACTCTTACATGGGCAAGTTCGGGGACCAACGCCAAGGTTCCAAGAAGCAAACAGGTTTGAAACGACCTGCATCTGCAAAAAGCAAAGTAATGAATGAGAAGAAGGAGAAGGCAGTTAAAAAAAACATGAAGAAGAAGCAGGACAAATCCAAAGAGAGCAGCAAGAACCCCAAGAAGACTGGAGGTGCAAGTGGACGAGTGCGCCCAGCATACCGATGGATTGGATCTTCTGAGTCTTGATTGCTTCAAAAGCTTCAAAGGCATGTGACATTTGAGGTTGTATGAACCAAATGCGCCCTGATTGAGCTTGAGTATGGAAAAACATGTTTTTGAGAAGAACCTCTGTGTGTGTGTCATGTGTTTCTCATCTGTGGACACACATGGAAACTGCATCCTTGAAACATATTGAATTTTTGTGGCCATTTATAACATCTCAAAACTGTGGAAGGCTCGCCTCCCACCATACTTTATCACTTTGTGAAGGCTCGCCTCACAAGTTGCCTTTCCTGTTCTGCAGCGATGGCTTCAGGGAGGCTCAAGGACTTGCTGGAGTTTCTCTCTGTGATGCAATCTCAGCCTGGAGAGTATTCAGAAGAGAAGCAAGCAAGGTTGCTGGATGCGTGTTTGAGAGATTTTTTGGTTGGCCCAAAGGTACCAATGGCTGAAGGGACGCTTATGGCCAAAGATGTGCAAGAAGCGTCCATACCACAAGAGATGAAGGACAGGGTCATTGCATGTCTGCAGGACAAGATGTTGGAAGACAAGGGTTCTACCAGGAAAGAAGGGAAACGAGGAAATGGAACCCAGAACCACCGCTACCTGATGAATTACTTTACCAAAGAAGAGTGGGATGACCTCCGGTCTGATGCGAAAAGCACAAACAGCAAGATCCAGGTTTTGAAAGAGAGGTTCATGAAAATTGGGCTCAGAAACCCTGCAGAACCAACATTTGTTCTGGCCAACGCAATTCTCCATGTGGCGGCCTACCAAGGGCCAATCGATATGATGGAGTGTGATTTGAACAAAGCTTTTGATGTACTCAAGGACATCAAAGCAATTCACCGAGCCTCTTTGAAAAGGATGATGAGTTCAGGCATTGATGACTACCCTGAAGTTCCATCAGCCATGGATGCAGAACTGTTCAACCAGGCCTACAGGCATGGACCTCCTGTTCAATGCCCGTTGGATGTGGCAGTCATCCAAAAACTGGCGGATTGGATGCCAGCAAGGGGAACCCATGGCGAAGTGGCCCGCAGCAAGGTTAAACTTGGGACGATGGGGCAAAATTCCATGTTTGGACAAGATGCTATGATGGGACGCATGATGTGCAATGCTTTCATGGATCGTTTCTTCAACAATCAGCCATCGGGGGGCTCTGCACACATTGAAGAAAACCGGTCTTTGAAGAGGAGGAAAAGCCTACTGGCGTTGGAAGATGTCAAAAAACATGAGGAACCTGCACCTGATATCAAAAAGGAGGCAGCAAGCAAGGAGGCAGAAAAAAATGAAAATGAGGACGACCAACGTGATGCTGGCACAGCCACAGTTGATAGCATGGCAGCAAGCATTCAGGCCCAATTGGCAGACAACAAGGGACCAAAGGACACGAAACCAGCGGCCAAGAAACCACCCAAAAGAAAAAATCTAGACAAGACCAAGGACAAGAAGGTTCAAGAGTCAAAAGTTTCCAAGTCCAAAGTTTGTGGAAAGAAACTGAAATTTCCTGGAACCACAGCCCAAGGAGCGATCCATTTGGATGCTTGCACCATTTACACATGCCCCAAAAGCTCGAACTGGCGTGTCAAGAAAAACGGAGACAAAAAGGACAGGGCGTTCTCTTGGAAGAAGGACAAACCATCTGAGGTGTGGGAACGGGTCATAGCCTTTGTTTCAGAACTCCAAGGCTGAGTTTCTGAGTTTGCAGTGGCTCGCCCTGCGTGTGTTGCTGGGGACTTTAACGCACGCCGAAAAAAAAAGTGCTTAGCGTTGTCACCGTCACTACTCCAAAGTTGGGTTTGTTTCCATGGGCGAGCCTCATGGTACATTTTTTTAGGTAGTATTTTTTTCATGGGCGAGCCTCATGAAAATGAGCACACTACAAAGAACCAAACAAATGAAAAAACCATTTCAGTTTTAAGTGACTTGAACCACTTGGACGCATGTTTGGACCGGGTTTCAAAACAATCCTCACGGGCAAGGAAAATATTGAGATACTCGCATGTCACTTTTTTGGCATTTTTTTTATTTCTTTTCAAAAAATGAAAACTCAACGTGCAGGAGTTATAACTGGACTTACATGTCCCCAAAAACAACGTAAAGTTCAATGTTCCCTAAGCATTTATAAGTCATACATAGAAGTGTATAACCAAAAAAAACGTTTAAGTGTAAATGGGGTTGCAAGTGGTGCTGGTGGATGAGTTGCCGATGGAATTCCATTGTGATTTGCAACTCTAGGATCGTTCCCTCACTGCAAATGGGATTGCAAGTGCTGCTGGTGGATGAGTTGCCGATGGAGTTTTGAAGGAAGTCTCGCACGAAATGCGTTTTTGAGAGATAGCAGATGCACGAAAGCCTATGTTTTTCCATACAAAGTCCGTCCTCGAACGTCGATGATCTACCTCTGCGGTGCGACGGGTGCGAGACGGTCTCGTGTGTGTGGTCGGATCATTCTCGGACCATGGTCGGATCATGGTCGGATCGGTTCCGCATTGTAAATGGGGTTTCAAGTGTTTTTCGTGCATGTGCGGTCGACAGAATTCCATTGTGATTTGCAACTGTAGGATCGTTCCCGCAATGTAGATGGAATTGCAAGTGGTGCTGGTGGATGAGTTGCAGATGGAATTCCATTGTGATTTGCAACTGTAGGATCGTTCCCGCAATGTAAATGGGATTGCAAGTGGTGCTGGTGGATGAGTTGCCGATGGAATTCCATTGTGATTTGCAACTCTAGGATCGTTCCCTCACTGCAAATGGGATTGCAAGTGGTGCTGGTGGAGGAGTTGCCGATGGAGTTTTGAAGGAAGTCTCGCACGAAATGCGTTTTTGAGAGATAGCAGATGCACGAAACCCTATGTTTTTCGATACAAAGTCCGTCCCCGAACCTCGATGATCTACCTCTGCGGTGCGACGGTTGCGAGACGGTCTCGTGTGTGGTCGGATCATTCTCGGATCATGCTCGGATCATGTTCGGATCATGTTCGGATCGGTTCCGCATTGTAAATGGGGTTTCACCTGTGTTTCGTGCATTTGCGGTCGACAGAATTCCATTGTGATTTGCAACTGTAGGATCGTTCCCGCAATGTAAATGGGATTGCAAGTGGTGCTGGTGGATGACTTGCCGATGGAATTCCATTGTGATTTGCAACTGTAGGATCGTTCCCGCATTGTAAATGGGATTGCAAGTGGTGCTGGTGGATGAGTTGCCGATGGAATTCCATTGTGATTTGCAACTCTAGGATCGTTCCCTCACTGTAAATGGGATTGCAAGTGTTGCTGGTGGATGAGTTGCCGATGGAATTCCATTGTGCTTTGCAACTGTAGGATCGTTCCCGCAGTGTCGGGTGGTTGCGTCAAGGTTGCTTTTTGCTGTGGCTGCATTGGTAATATTACTATTGTCTTTTGCAGCTGGACTTCGTAAATCGTATTGGAGTGGCTGCATGAAGGCTGCCACAGTGATTTGTCAGCAGATTTTTTTCATTTTGGCGCTAGTGAATTTCCTTCTAAAAATCCTTTTAGAAAGTGCTTCAAAATCGTCTTTTTTTCGCTCTGGCGTCGAGATCCGGTTTTGGAGCTACAATTTCCGACGCCGTTGTGCGTAGTTCTATTGTGTTTTGCAACTCAGTCTCTGCAGATCGCATTGTAATGGCTGTGTCAAGGTTGCTTCGTGCTGTGGCTGCATTCGTAATACTATTGTCTTTTGCAGCTGGATCTCGTAAATCGTATTGGAGTGGCTGCATGAAGGCTGCGACAGTGATTTGTCAGCAGATTTTCTTCATTTTGGCGCTAGTGATTTTCCTTCTAAAAATCCTTTTAAAAAGTGCTTCAAAATCGTCTTTTTTTCACTCTGGCGTCGAGATCCGGTTTTGGAGCTACAATTTCCAACGCCGTTGTGCGTAGTTCTGTTGTGTTTTGCAACTCAGTCTCTGCAGATCGCATTGTAATGGCTGTGTCAAGGTTGCTTCGTGCTGTGGCTGCATTGGTAATCCTATTGTCTTTTGCAGCTCGATCTCGTAAATCGTATTGGAGTGGCTGCATGAAGGCTGCCACAGTGATTTGTCAGCAGATTTTCTCCATTTTGGCGCTAGTGATTTTCCTTCTAAAAATCTTTTTAAAAAGTGCTTCAAAATCGTCTTTTTTTCGCTCTGGCGTCGAGATCCGGTTTTGGAGCTACAATTTCCGACGCCGTTGCGCGTAGTTCTATTGTTTTTTGCAACTCAGTCTCCGCAGCTCTTATTGTAATGGCTGCGTCAAGGTTGCTTCATGCTGTGGCTGCATGCGTAATACTATTGTCTTTTGCAGCTGGACTTCGTAAATCGTATTGGAGTGGCTGTATGAAGGCTGCGACAGTGATTTGTCAGCAGATTTTCTCCATTTTGGCGCTAGTGTTTTTTTGTTGCACGTAGGTTTAGAGCAGTGTGAAGTGTGGGGCGTGAAGAGTGCAGTGTGAAGTGTGCAGTGTGAAGGAAGCAGTGGGAAGTGAGAAGTGTGAAGTGTGGAGTGTGAAGTTTAAGTTTGGAGTGCAAAGAGCGCAGTGTGAAGTGTGAAGTGTGAGGTTTGGAGTGTGAAGGAAGCAGTGAGAAGTGTGAAGTGTGGACTGTGAAGTGTGAAGTGTGAGTGAAGTGTGGAGTGTGAAGTGCGAAGTGAGAAGTGTGAAGGGTGAAGTTTGGAGTGTGAAGTTTGGAGTGGGAAGGAAGCAGTGAGAAGTGAGAAGTGTGAAGTGTGGACTGTGAAGAGTGGAGTGTGAAGTGCGAAGTGAGAAGTGTGAAGTTTGGAGTGTGAAGGAAGCAGTGAGAAGTGAGAAGTGTGAAGTGAGAAGTGTGAAGTGTGGACTGTGAAGTGTGGAGTGCGAAGGCGCAGCGTGAAGTGTGAAGTGTGAAGTGTGAGGTTTGGAGTGTGAAGGAAGCAGTGAGAAGTGTGAAGTGTGGACTGTGAAGTCTGAAGTGTGAGTGAAGTGTGGAGTGTGAAGTGCGAAGTGTGTGAAGTGTGAAGTTTGGAGTGTGAAGTTTGGAGTGGGAAGGAAGCAGTGAGAAGTGTGAAGTGTGGACTGTGAAGTGTGGAGTGTGAAGTGCGAAGTGAGAAGTGTGAAGTTTGAGAAGTGTGAAGTGAAGCAGTGAGAAGTGTGGACTGTGAAGTGTGAAGTGTGAAGTGTGGACTGTGAAGTGTGAAGTGTGAAGTGTGGACTGTGAAGTGTGAAGTGTGCAGTGTGAAGTGTGAAGTGTGAAGTGTGAAGTGTTTGGAGTGTGAAGGAAGTGAGAAGTGTGGAGTGTGAAGTGTGGAGTGTGAAGTTTGAAGTTTGGAGTGCGAAGAGTGCAGTGTGCAGTGTGAGGTGTGGAGTGTCGAGGGAAGGACACGGTCGGGACAGGTTGTCTTTGAACTATAGGTCATTTATGTTTGGGAAACTTCCGCCGCCGGCTTGCCCGGGTCTATGTTATAGTTGATTTACCCATTAAAGATGGTGATTTTCCACTTCGCAAACTGTAAACGTTTACCAGAGGGTAAAAGTGAGTTTAAGGGAGTTTTTTTTCATGAGATAATGATGGGATTTCACCATGGGATATTAGTTGTAGTTGATTTACCTTACAAAAAAAAATGTGATGTTCCAGTTCGCAAACTGTAAACGTTTACCAGAGGGTATAGGCAAAAAAATACCATTTGCAGGTTCGGTAAATCAACTATACATGGGCCATTTTCCATAGCCATACAAAAAATAACCCACTTTCCAGCCACCAGAGGGTAAAAATCAGCCACATCCCTGGTTTTTTCTTGATTCATCAACAAAATCACCATGGGATTTTTCAGTTTACCAGAGGCTATCCCATTAAATCACCCTCAAAAACCACCATAGAATCACAACTCAAACGGCCCATCCTGGTTCCAGGAGTTCTTCTTCCAGCCGCCAGTTGGGGAAGCTGCGCTGTGAGATCGACTCCCCTGGAGGTTTTTCTCGGAAATGAAGTCGATGGAGCTTTGAATGGGGAAAAACCATAGGAAACAACTGGGAAAATCCGATTGAAAATCCCCTTGAATCAATTTTTGCATCTTTTTTTGGGAAAATCCATAGGAAATTCATAGGAAATTCAGAAAATTCCCCCCTCCCCCTATAAATGAAGATCTGAATGGGAACATCATCACACGAAATGGTGGGTGTTCGAAGCAAAACCTCTCGGTTTTGAAACCAAAAAGACATGTTACAGGTCGACTCAGAGCTGCTGTTTCATAGGATTTGACCCTCTGGTAATGACTAACAGTTCAGACTAACAAATGGTGATTTTCCACTTCGCAAACTGTAAACGTTGACCAGAGGGTAAGTTCCATTGAAAAGGATGGCTGATGGCATACCCTCTGGTAAACGTTTACATAACTACGGAAAATCAACATGTTTAATGGGAAAATCAACTAGTATGGCCATTTTCAATAGCTCTATATATATATAAATTACCAGAGGGCATCTCATTCAACCAATACTTAGTATCCCATTCCTTCCAGTGCTGAAACTCACTTTCCAAAGTGGTTACGATGGCCACTAAGAAGGGATATTAGGTTCCCCTTCTTGTCAGCCACACACACAAATATCATATTGTTGGGTCTTATATAATTAATGTTATATATCCCATTATCCCCATATTATCCAATAATATCATATCATATCCCCAGGAAATCCCAATTTTGGTTGGGTCATGTTGGCTGTA